GATGGAATCAAGCCGCGCGGTATATCCTGAACCCACCCGAACTGTCGGACGCAACGATCAGGCATATACGGCTCTACGACCCACATGTACTGGATCGTGCCATGATACAACATACGAGGGATACTCTCGTGTATATCCCGACCATACGGTAGCCACTCGACCTAAACAGAAAACAATATAAATACATAAATCAAAAAATTCATATTTAAACAAACTACAAACATAAACCGAAAAATTCATATTTAAAAAAATATAAATAGATAAATATAAAAGACTTACATCATCCGTTGTCATATTGTCGAGTAAACCTCGAATATGCTCGAGCGTGCCCGCTTTTGGCGGCGCGTTCCACCTCTTGCATCGAGGCTGAAACCGCGGTAGCGCTCGCTCTCCTCCGGCGGGTGGAATCTCGGGAAATACTCGTATATCCAGCACTGCAATATTTTATTTAAAGATATTAAAACTTATTAAAATATATTAAAATTTACAAAATATATTAAAATTTATTAAAATATATTAAAATGAACAAAATAAGTTCAAAATATATTAAAATTTACCTGACGCCAAGCCCCTCGACTGTGCTCGGCTGCATATACCCAACTCTCTGTATAAATTGGCCAAACAGGCTGAACCCCACGAATACGTGCCGACTTGATCAAGCATTGAATCCTCGAGCACGTGCATATACCACGGCTTCACCCGATCACATGTCTTGTCGGGGAATAAAATCGATCCGAGGAGAAACACTAGGTATATCTGAACTCGGCGTCTCATGGGCGTGTCCGGTATCAACAACTGTCCCTGTATCATCCTCCATGTGGGGCCCCCACGCTTCCATGACTCGTCAATCTCCTCAAACTCGAGGTTTAATACCTCGGACAGCAAATACACGCAGTTTGTCCGCTCGATGACCTCGTCGTACCTAGGCACGACCACCCGTCCCTCCACATTGGCACCTAGAATCATCTGGACATCGTGGAGAGTGATAGTCATCTCTCCCCACGACATATGGAAGCTGTTCGTCTCCGGCTGCCACCGCTCCACGAATGCAAACAACAACGGAGTATCTAGGCCCGATAAATAACATCGGGCTAGGGGATACATGATACGCGTAAAACCTACGTATGAAAAACCGCAAGTTTACAGTATCGCGTTTTGTAGAATAGTGAATTCCAGATATCGATCCACAGGGAATTAAGTTCCTAAATCTACCAAGTACCGTAATTATACTATCCTAAACTTTATCTAGACGGGAGAAAAAGATGGGAGATGACATGAAGCCAAAAGGAAACAAAAATAATAAAAACAACGGTCCGCCAGTATACGCGAGGAATTCCGACGTGTGATGGCTTCTAGGGTAAAATCCACCAGTGTATTATCGATAAAGATCTACAAATCCGAATCTATTGTCAATTCTATGTTCGCTAACCCAGACACTAAAGTACCCTAACCCCCGTCTCCAGTGTAGTTAGAGTCTACCCACAGGTCCGACGTCTCCGTTCAGAACCTGATATTAAGAGAGCATTTAGTTCAAGTCCTTAAGGGCTACCCGAGGTGCATCACGTCTCCGTTTCCACAACCCGAGCTATGCTTTCCTAAAATCAAACGAGAAATCCTCTCTCGAGTTCATTCCCATTTAGAATCAATTCAATTGTTGGCCAAACAATCGAAAGCATTTAATACAGGAAAACATAAACAGAATCAAAGAACGACAAATAGATCACAGATCTGGAAATCAAAATCAATATATACAAGGTTTCATTTCCCTAAAAGAAAATGCTCAGTTCATTACAAACATAGCATCAAAATGAAGAACACGAGAAATTATAAACTAAACGTAAAGAAAAGCTTATGAAAAACCCGAGTCGAAACCCTCGTCGAAGCTTCCCGCGAAGAACTGGCGAGAACCGAAGAGAAAACCGAAGAAAAAGTCGAGAGAGAGTCGAGATCTTATCGAGATCGAAAAATGAAAAGGAGACCTTCTATTTATAGTTAGATATCAAAGAAAAATATCTAGTCTCGATTTCTGTGCCCAGATCGCGATCTGGGCTTCTTGGATCGCGATCTGGCAACCTCGAAAACTGCGCACCGCCTTCCAGATCGCGATCCAGAAAGTGCGGATCGCGATCTGCCCCAACGTTTCGCTGCTACTGGAATTTGCCACCAGATCGCGATCCGGTGATTCTGGATCGCGATCTGGCCTCTGCATCAACTTCAAACACCTTTTTTACCCTTTTTCAGTCCGAATTCGACAATTGTGCATTTCACAAAAGTTGTAGATATTGAAGTTAGCTTTCTAAGGCCACTTGAATCAGCTCAATCGGAGGTCGTATGCAAAAGTTATGCTTGAAATACCAAACACTGCCACAATCCGCGAGAATGCACTTTTGCACGTGTTTGGTTTGATTCTCGGCTTCGCTTCCAAAATCGTCTCGAATCGGCAAAAATAGCTTATCTTTACCTAAAATATAAATAAAACAAAAACAACATAATATATACAAATAAAGCCGAAAACTCGGACGAATGAAGACCAAAACACGAAGATTAGATAAGTAAAAGTTGCACAAAACGAACACTTATCAATACAAACCGGTCATCCGCAGAAAATGCTTGTCTACGGATACATCTATGTCTTCTAGGGCAGCTGCTATCTTCTCGTAGTTGAATTGGTTCAGGGAGTTGATACGGGACTCCACTCGTCCAACCGGAAGTTCCTGCAATCATTTATTTAGAAAACATATTAATTAATCAACTATAAAAGTATTTTAATATAAGATACAAAAATTATAATATTAAAATTAAAACAAGTAATTAACTTACTTCTCCCCTCTAAATATATGCCGCTACGTGCGACTTGAAACTCGGTATCAAAGACGGATCCCGCGGGCCACCGGGAAATGAACCATCTAGCACATCCGGATTGACTCGAGTATGAGCTCGACCACCACGACCTCCACGGCCCCGTCCTCGGCCTCCACGACCTCCACGACCTCCACGAGCTACAACCTCAGTCTCGTGAACGGGGTCCACATCATCCTCCTCTTCTTCCTCCTCCTCCATAGCACGAGAAGACCCAACATCGGGATGTGGAACTGATGATCTGGCTTCACCAGCTCTCTCAGCCTCTCGCCTACGTCGTGTAGACATAGTCATGCGCTCGCGCTCGCGCTCTTGATGTTCAGCCTCTTCACGAACTGCTCGCATAATTGCCTTTGATTTCCCTTTGCCTGCCATCTGTTAAATAAAACACTATTAACGTCAGTCTAAATCATAATAATAAATAAAACAAATCTTAAAAAAAAAACTGAATCGTGCTATTTTGTGGAAAAACACACGAAATTAGTGCATCCATTTCGTGTAAGAACACACGAAATACAAGCACTAATTTCGTGTGTTTGTCCACGAAATGACAGTAAAACTGCCAAAACACACACGTTTCGTGCACAATTATACGAAACAAAAGCTTACATTTCGTGTCACGAAATGTAAGCTTTTGTTTCGTATCATTGTGCACGAAACGTAAGAAAAACAAACAAATATGCTAATTTCGTGTAAAAACTCACGAAATTAGCCCCTTAATTTCGTGAGTTTCTACACGAAACGTAACTTTATTTCCGAAAAGTTTCGAATGTTTTCAAAATACTGAAAACGTATAGATTTTCGACGAAATTTGTTAATATACTACTATAAAACATTGGGTTAACGATTTCGAGTTCGAATTTTACCTTAAATCGTTGTTGAATTGCTCGTTTAATCCGCAAGAACTCGAAGAACCTTGGATAGGGTTTGAGAGGATTTTGAATTTTCTTAAGAAAAGTTACAAATGAAATAAAGTCGCACTGCAAGCCGGTAAAAGTTGTTCTATGAATAGCATTTCAGTTGAAAATATTAGGATCTGAATTGAAAAGTGTAATTCTCCCTCATTTTGCCTTAATTTAGATATATTGTGGGTCACGTATGTTGCACTGTTTTTTTTTTTTTTCAACTCAAATTGTCTTAAAATTGAGAAAGTAGGGGGGCACGAACCCTAAACTTCTACTTTAATAGTAGAGGTTATGTACCAACTCTCTTAATGTGTGTTGGTATGTGTGCTGCACATTACATTTTCCGAGCTCGCTTCTTTTGGCAGGCTCGAGCTCGAGCTCGAGTCTATTTTGTCAAGCTTGAGCTCGAGCTCGTGTCTATTTTGTCGAGCTCAAGCTCGAGCCCAAGCTCATTTTGTTTTTGTTTTTATTTTTTTAAAATATTTTTATAATTATTATTTTATTATTATCAAAAATTATTTAAAAAATTACAAAATAAACAATAAATTGTAATTATATATATTTTTTAATATTTTTATTTTATTTTTATTTTTATTTTTATTTTTATTTTTATTTTTATTTTATATTTATTTATTACTATAATATATTATATTATTATACATTATTTAAATAAAAAAATAATGTATAAAAATAATAATAATAATAAAATAAAAATAAAATAAGGCTCGCGAGCCGGCTCGTGAGCTCACAAAAAACTAAAGAGTGGCTCGAACTCGGCTTGTCAAAAAAGATCGAGCTCGAGCTCGAAAAACTCAAGTTTGAGTTCGAGCTTTTTTCGAGTCGGTTCATCAAGCCCACGAGGTGGCTCGGCTCATTTACCATCCTAGACGTAGGCGGAGTAGACCAAATGTTGTAAAAATTGATCTTTTAATAAGTATTTTGTCCAATTTGAAACAACTTAGACGAAAAGTGAAAACTGACCAAATATAAAAAACTAAAGGTGTAATTCTCTCGGTTTTACTCAAGAAAAAAATCAAGAAATATATAAAAAAAATCTTACAAGTGGGTGGAAGACGCCAAAGGCATGGAGATGTTGTACATTTTCGCGCCACTAAGTCAAACGACTCAAATTCACCACTAGATTGAACCAAATATATCTTCCACGTAACAAAATCACAAAAAAATGGAAACGCCAAACATTTATTTTCCATGGCTGAAAACAAATCCTCTTCTCCGATTGGTCTCCAAAAAAAAAATGGAGCATGCAGTAGCACCCACCTCACTGGATAAACAAAATTAACTGGGCACATTAGAAATGAAGGCCCACGCTTTAATCGTTAAACCACCGGGCTTTCATCTAATACCCAAGAAACAATACGGCCATTGCCGCCGCCACGCCAGCACACCGGCCGTTATTTACTGCCGGCGTGTTCCGGCCGAACATTCAGGCGAGACACATGTTGCGAAGCGGCGAGATGTGATATTTACTCCCCTCTTTGCTGTTGGAGCGTATGCACTCCGTTCGGCGGTGGCCAAGGCGGAGGAGAGGCAGCCTCAGCCTCCGCCTCCGCCTCAGGAGGAAGAAGCAACAGCTCGGCGGCCTACGCAGCAGCAGCCTCAGGAGGAGGTAATTAATTGGAGGATATATGACGCGACGGTGATAGGGGAGCCGATGGCATTGGGAAAAGACAAGAGGAGGGTTTGGGAAAAAATGATGAATGCGCGAATTGTGTACTTGGGTGAGGCGGAGCAGGTACCCACTTGCGACGACAAAGAATTGGAGCTTGAAATCGTCAAGAATTTGAGGAAGAGATGTGTCGAAGCCGAGCGCCCTTTATCTTTGGCTTTGGAAGCTTTTCCTTGTGATTTACAGGACCAGCTTAATCGTTTTTGTTGGAAATGAATAAGCTAGATTCATTAATCAAGTTCAAAGTATTGAAGGTTCTAGAATTCATGAATGTGAAGAATACATGAATGTGTCTTTTGGAGAGATTCATGTATAATGCTATGGAGGAAGAATATTATTAATTATGTGTTCATGTATTTGTTTAGATACATGTTAGGAAAATCCTATAAATAGTCTATGTAGTTTTTCATTTGAAGTAAGTCAAAAAACAAGAAGAAGTATTTTAGAGAGAATCAAAAGAGAGTTTTTGAGTGAGTTTATATATTTGTGTTGATTGAGTGAGTAATAGAATTTTATCTCCTCTCCACTACTCCTCCTCTCTATTTTAAGTTATTCCGCTGCGTGTTTTCGATCTATATTATTAAACCGATCCAACAAAGTGGTATCAGAGCCACGTCTTAATAGAAAAGATCGATGGCAACCACAAATGGAGCTTTCCCATTTCAAAAGCTTGCAAAAGAGAACTATGATCGATGGAGCATACAAATGAAAACTTTCCTTGGTGGACAAGACGTTTGGGAAGCCGTTGAAGAAGAGTATGTTGAACCGGAGAATTTGGCTTCGTTAAGCCAAGCCCAAAGGAAGACATCCAAAGAAGCCAAGGTGAAAGATCAAAGAGCGCTATCCATCATCCAACTCGGTGTGGACGATAGTAACTTTGAGAAAATTTCTCAAGCTACTACGGCGAAGCAAGCGTGGGATATTCTTAGCGATGCTTTCAAAGGTATTGATAAGGTGAAGAAGGTACGACTCCAATCACTTCGTGGAGAGTTCGAGTCTTTGAAGATGAAAGACTCCGAAGATGTTTCCGACTACGTCTCAAGGGTGGTTTCGATCGTCAACCAACTTGAAAGAAATGGTGAAACAATGGAAGAGAGCAGAGTGGTCGAAAAAATACTTCGATCCCTTGATCCTAAGTTTGACTACATTGTCGTGGCAATTGAAGAGTCAAACGACGTTGAGAGTCTTAAAGTGAACGAGATATTGGGCAAGTTACAAGTCCATGAGGAGAAGATCAAGAGGCGAAACAAAGGGCCCGAAGTTGAACAAGCTCTTCAAGCAAAGACGAACCTTGCCGACCAACCGAAATATGATGGTGCTCGATTTCGAGGCAGAGGTAGAGGCCGTGGTCGTGGACGCGGTCGTGGTCGTGGCAGAGGTCGTGAAGGACAATCCTCGTATGACAATGATGATACGAAGCAAGAGAATCGACCAACAAGAGGTCGTGGAAGAGGTGGATTCAATCGGCGTCAAGACAAGAAAGATGTCGAATGTTACAATTGTCACAAATACGGTCACTATGCTTGGGAGTGTCGAAATGACTCAAGTGATGAAAAGAATCATTATGTTGAAACGACGGAAAAAAAAGTTGCCGAGCTATCCCTAATGGCGTGTAAAGAATCAACGGAGGAGAAAGATTGCTCGTGGTACCTTGATTCGGGAGCGAGCAACCACATGTGCGGGAACAAACACATGTTCGTAGAGATCGATGAGTCCGTGACGGGAAATATCTCATTTGGAGATATGTCGAAGATTACCATCAAAGGGAAAGGGAGAATACTATTCAAATTGAAAAGTGGAGCACACCAATTCATCGAGAATGTTTACTATGTGCCGGGAATGAAGACAAACATCCTAAGTATTGGCCAGCTGCTAGAGAAAGGATACGACGTCCATATGAAGGGTCGTAACCTATACTTGAAGAATAGCCAAGGTACGTTGATAGCTATTATTCCAATGACAAACAATCGGATGTTCTTATTGAATATCTATCACGATATGGCGAAGTGCTTAAAAGCGTGTTACGAGGATCCATCTTGGCTATGGCATTTGAGGCTAGGCCATATCAACTTTGGTGGACTAAAGATGATGTCCAAGAAGAAGGTGGTGAAGGGACTACCATCAATTGATCATCCCGATCAAGTATGTCAAGGATGTATTGCCGGAAAACAATCTCGACTAAGTTTTCCAAAGGAGTCTTTGTCAAGAGCAACGCAACCGTTGGAGTTGATCCATACGGATATATGCGGTCCGATTGAACCTACATCACTAGGGGATAATCGCTATTTTTTGACTTTCATTGATGATTATAGTCGAAAAACATGGGTTTATTCTTTGAAGCAAAAATCGGAGGCATTCTCAATCTTCAAAAGGTTCAAAGCTCTTGTCGAGAAGCAAAGCGGCTATCACATTAAGGCGATGAGATCTGACCGTGGAGGCGAATTCACTTCAAGTGAGTTCAAGAAGTTTTGTGATGAGCACGGTATTCGTAGACCTCTCACCGTTGCATACTCACCCCAGCAAAACGGTGTCGCAGAGAGGAAGAATCGATCCATTATGAACATGGTTCGATGCATGTTGAAGTCCAAACAATTGCCGAAGGAGTTTTGGGCAGAAGCCGTTGATTGTGCTGTTTATCTATCAAACCGGAGTTCGACGAGGAGTGTTTTTGAGAAAACACCACAAGAGGCTTGGAGTGGATTCAAGCCTAGCATAGCACATTTGAGAGTGTTTGGGAGTATTGCCCATATGCATGTTCCGGACCAACAACGAAAGAAACTTGACGACAAAAGCCAAAAGTATATTTTTGTGGGCTATGATCAAGCTGCGAAAGGATACAAGTTGTATGATCCTGTTGAGAAGAAGAGTAAAATCAGTCGAGACGTTGTGTTCGATGAGAAGAATTCGTGGGATTGGAATGCTCAAGAAAAGGAGCATTACACATTCTACCCGTTTGAGGCAGCAACTAAGGAAGTTGAAGAGGAGCCCGTAGATGAAATAACTCCACCATCATCACCTGCATCTTCTTCCGATGGTGAAAGTTCGAGTAGTGAAGGACCTCGAAAGATAAGGTCTCTACATGAGATTTATAATCAACTCAATCAGAATCCAAACTTATTCTGTTTGTTTGTTGATACGGAGCCTATCAACTTTGAGGAGGCGTCGAAAAGCAAGAAGTGGAGAAAGGCCATGAATGAAGAGATTGAAGCTATCAAGAAGAATGATACTTGGGAGCTCACTTCCTTACCATCGGGGCATAAACCTATCGGAGTCAAATGGGTTTACAAGGTGAAAAAGAATTCCAAAGGCGAGGTGGAAAGATACAAGGCGAGGCTTGTTGTCAAAGGGTACAAGCAAAAGGCGGGAATTGACTATGACGAAGTCTTTGCTCCCGTTGCCCGATTGGAGACCATTAGATTGCTAATCTCATTAGCAGCTCAAAAGAAGTGGAACATCTATCAAATGGATGTGAAATCAGCATTTCTAAATGGAGTGCTTGAAGAAGAGGTGTACGTTGACCAACCCGAAGGTTACTTGGTTCGTGGTCAAGAGAATAAAGTGTTAAAATTGAAAAAAGCACTTTATGGGTTAAAGCAAGCACCAAGGGCGTGGAACAGCCGCATTGATCAATATTTTTTGGAAAAGGGATTCAAAAAATGTCCACATGAGCATGCGCTATATATGAAGGTCGATAAAGGTGATATGCTAATTGTGTGCTTGTATGTTGATGATTTAATATTTACAGGGAACAATGTGAAATTGTTTGATGAGTTCAAAAAGGAGATGGCCAAGGAGTTCGAGATGACAGACATTGGGTTGATGTCTTATTATCTTGGCATTGAAGTGAAGCAACAAGATGATGGCATTTTCATCTCACAAGAAGGCTATGCAAAAGATGTGCTAAAGAAATTCAAAATGGAGAAATGCAAGGAAATCAGCACTCCAATTGACATTGGAGAGAAATTGTCGAAGCACGTTGAAGGAGAACCCGTTGATCCAACCTTATTCAAAAGCTTGGTTGGAAGTTTGAGGTATCTTACATGCACAAGACCCGATATTCTATTTGCAGTTGGTCTTGTTAGCCGATACATGGAAGATCCAAAGGAGTACCATTTCAAAGTAGCAAAGAGGATACTCCGCTACATCAAAGGAACTACTAATTTGGGTATGTTCTACCCAACAAATGGAGATTTGAAGCTAGCCGGATATAGCGACAGCGATTGGGCCGGAGATCCCGATGATCGAAAGAGTACAAGTGGTTTTGTATTCTACTTTGGAGATTCAGCATTCACTTGGGTATCGAAGAAGCAACCGATAGTTACTCTATCAACTTGTGAAGTTGAATATGTGGCAGCGACATCGAGTGTATGTCATGCAATATGGCTAAGGAGCTTACTAAATGAGCTCAATTTTGCTCAAGAAGATTCTACACAAGTTTTTGTCGATAACAAATCAGCGATTGCACTAGCGAAAAATCCAGTGTTTCATGATCGAAGCAAACACATTGACACTCGATATCATTTCATCCGAGAGTGCATTGCAAAGAAGGAAGTTCAAGTGAAGTTCGTGAAGTCCGAAGATCAAATTGCCGATATCTTCACGAAACCCCTCAAGAGAGAATCGTTCGAGAAGTTGAGGAGACAACTTGGAATGCGTGAATCAAGCTTAGGGGGGCGTGTTGGAAATGAATAAGCTAGATTCATTAATCAAGTTCAAAGTATTGAAGGTTCTAGAATTCATGAATGTGAAGAATACATGAATGTGTCTTTTGGAGAGATTCATGTATAATGCTATGGAGGAAGAATATTATTAATTATGTGTTCATGTATTTGTTTAGATACATGTTAGGAAAATCCTATAAATAGTCTATGTAGTTTTTCATTTGAAGTAAGTCAAAAAACAAGAAGAAGTATTTTAGAGAGAATCAAAAGAGAGTTTTTGAGTGAGTTTATATATTTGTGTTGATTGAGTGAGTAATAGAATTTTATCTCCTCTCCACTACTCCTCCTCTCTATTTTAAGTTATTCCGCTGCGTGTTTTCGATCTATATTATTAAACCGATCCAACAGTTTTATGGATCGGAGCCACGTCTTAATAGAAAAGATCGATGGCAACCACAAATGGAGCTTTCCCATTTCAAAAGCTTGCAAAAGAGAACTATGATCGATGGAGCATACAAATGAAAACTTTCCTTGGTGGACAAGACGTTTGGGAAGCCGTTGAAGAAGAGTATGTTGAACCGGAGAATTTGGCTTCGTTAAGCCAAGCCCAAAGGAAGACATCCAAAGAAGCCAAGGTGAAAGATCAAAGAGCGCTATCCATCATCCAACTCGGTGTGGACGATAGTAACTTTGAGAAAATTTCTCAAGCTACTACGGCGAAGCAAGCGTGGGATATTCTTAGCGATGCTTTCAAAGGTATTGATAAGGTGAAGAAGGTACGACTCCAATCACTTCGTGGAGAGTTCGAGTCTTTGAAGATGAAAGACTCCGAAGATGTTTCCGACTACGTCTCAAGGGTGGTTTCGATCGTCAACCAACTTGAAAGAAATGGTGAAAACATGGAAGAGAGCAGAGTGGTCGAAAAAATACTTCGATCCCTTGATCCTAAGTTTGACTACATTGTCGTGGCAATTGAAGAGTCAAACGACGTTGAGAGTCTTAAAGTGAACGAGATATTGGGCAAGTTACAAGTCCATGAGGAGAAGATCAAGAGGCGAAACAAAGGGCCCGAAGTTGAACAAGCTCTTCAAGCAAAGACGAACCTTGCCGACCAACCGAAATATGATGGTGCTCGATTTCGAGGCAGAGGTAGAGGCCGTGGTCGTGGACGCGGTCGTGGTCGTGGCAGAGGTCGTGAAGGACAATCCTCGTATGACAATGATGATACGAAGCAAGAGAATCGACCAACAAGAGGTCGTGGAAGAGGTGGATTCAATCGGCGTCAAGACAAGAAAGATGTCGAATGTTACAATTGTCACAAATACGGTCACTATGCTTGGGAGTGTCGAAATGACTCAAGTGATGAAAAGAATCATTATGTTGAAACGACGGAAAAAAAAGTTGCCGAGCTATCCCTAATGGCGTGTAAAGAATCAACGGAGGAGAAAGATTGCTCGTGGTACCTTGATTCGGGAGCGAGCAACCACATGTGCGGGAACAAACACATGTTCGTAGAGATCGATGAGTCCGTGACGGGAAATATCTCATTTGGAGATATGTCGAAGATTACCATCAAAGGGAAAGGGAGAATACTATTCAAATTGAAAAGTGGAGCACACCAATTCATCGAGAATGTTTACTATGTGCCGGGAATGAAGACAAACATCCTAAGTATTGGCCAGCTGCTAGAGAAAGGATACGACGTCCATATGAAGGGTCGTAACCTATACTTGAAGAATAGCCAAGGTACGTTGATAGCTATTATTCCAATGACAAACAATCGGATGTTCTTATTGAATATCTATCACGATATGGCGAAGTGCTTAAAAGCGTGTTACGAGGATCCATCTTGGCTATGGCATTTGAGGCTAGGCCATATCAACTTTGGTGGACTAAAGATGATGTCCAAGAAGAAGGTGGTGAAGGGACTACCATCAATTGATCATCCCGATCAAGTATGTCAAGGATGTATTGCCGGAAAACAATCTCGACTAAGTTTTCCAAAGGAGTCTTTGTCAAGAGCAACGCAACCGTTGGAGTTGATCCATACGGATATATGCGGTCCGATTGAACCTACATCACTAGGGGATAATCGCTATTTTTTGACTTTCATTGATGATTATAGTCGAAAAACATGGGTTTATTCTTTGAAGCAAAAATCGGAGGCATTCTCAATCTTCAAAAGGTTCAAAGCTCTTGTCGAGAAGCAAAGCGGCTATCACATTAAGGCGATGAGATCTGACCGTGGAGGCGAATTCACTTCAAGTGAGTTCAAGAAGTTTTGTGATGAGCACGGTATTCGTAGACCTCTCACCGTTGCATACTCACCCCAGCAAAACGGTGTCGCAGAGAGGAAGAATCGATCCATTATGAACATGGTTCGATGCATGTTGAAGTCCAAACAATTGCCGAAGGAGTTTTGGGCAGAAGCCGTTGATTGTGCTGTTTATCTATCAAACCGGAGTTCGACGAGGAGTGTTTTTGAGAAAACACCACAAGAGGCTTGGAGTGGATTCAAGCCTAGCATAGCACATTTGAGAGTGTTTGGGAGTATTGCCCATATGCATGTTCCGGACCAACAACGAAAGAAACTTGACGACAAAAGCCAAAAGTATATTTTTGTGGGCTATGATCAAGCTGCGAAAGGATACAAGTTGTATGATCCTGTTGAGAAGAAGAGTAAAATCAGTCGAGACGTTGTGTTCGATGAGAAGAATTCGTGGGATTGGAATGCTCAAGAAAAGGAGCATTACACATTCTACCCGTTTGAGGCAGCAACTAAGGAAGTTGAAGAGGAGCCCGTAGATGAAATAACTCCACCATCATCACCTGCATCTTCTTCCGATGGTGAAAGTTCGAGTAGTGAAGGACCTCGAAAGATAAGGTCTCTACATGAGATTTATAATCAACTCAATCAGAATCCAAACTTATTCTGTTTGTTTGTTGATACGGAGCCTATCAACTTTGAGGAGGCGTCGAAAAGCAAGAAGTGGAGAAAGGCCATGAATGAAGAGATTGAAGCTATCAAGAAGAATGATACTTGGGAGCTCACTTCCTTACCATCGGGGCATAAACCTATCGGAGTCAAATGGGTTTACAAGGTGAAAAAGAATTCCAAAGGCGAGGTGGAAAGATACAAGGCGAGGCTTGTTGTCAAAGGGTACAAGCAAAAGGCGGGAATTGACTATGACGAAGTCTTTGCTCCCGTTGCCCGATTGGAGACCATTAGATTGCTAATCTCATTAGCAGCTCAAAAGAAGTGGAACATCTATCAAATGGATGTGAAATCAGCATTTCTAAATGGAGTGCTTGAAGAAGAGGTGTACGTTGACCAACCCGAAGGTTACTTGGTTCGTGGTCAAGAGAATAAAGTGTTAAAATTGAAAAAAGCACTTTATGGGTTAAAGCAAGCACCAAGGGCGTGGAACAGCCGCATTGATCAATATTTTTTGGAAAAGGGATTCAAAAAATGTCCACATGAGCATGCGCTATATATGAAGGTCGATAAAGGTGATATGCTAATTGTGTGCTTGTATGTTGATGATTTAATATTTACAGGGAACAATGTGAAATTGTTTTGATGAGTTCAAAAAAGGGAGATGGGCCAAGGAGTTCGAGATGACAGACATTGGGTTGA